TAACTTTTCCAAGACATTCTAATTTATTGAGATGCACCTATACTCGACTGACAACCTTTACAACCAAATATGTATGACCTATTCATTCTCTATTCAGGTAAAACAATAACAAAGCATCTGAACAGAAAAGCTATTATAGGTATGAATGCAGCTTACCGCCATGTATGCATTGGTTCCAACGTATGTTTTAGCAATGGAGTTCACCAACTGTGGAAGAAAGCAGGAGAAATATTGGTAACACTTTCTATGAAGCCCGTATTTATAATATATTATAAGGGTGTTCTTAAAAGGGTTAGTTCACCCAAAAATGAAAATTCTGTCATTAATTACTCACCCTCATCTCGTTTCAAACCCGTAAGACCTTTGTTCTTCTTCAGAACACAAATTAAGATATTTTTTATGAAATCCGAGAGCTTTCTGACCCTGCATAGACAGCAATGCATAATCCATGTGACATCAGTGGTTCATCCGCAATTATACAAAGCTATGAGAATACTTTTTGTTCAACAATTCAACAATTCGTCTCCTCCGCATCACCCTGTAGTGCCATTTTGGAGAATGTCCAGTGGACGAAGCTGACACAGAACAGCATACGTTGTTTTACGTCCAATTGATATTCTCCAAAATGGCGCTACAGGGTGACGCGGAGGAGATGAATTGTTGCCATAAAGCCATTTTATTTTCTTTTGCGCACAAAAAGTATTCTCGTAGCTTCGTATAATTGCGGATGAACCCCTGATGTCACATGGATTATTTTACAGATCTCCTTACTACGTTTCTGGACTTGGGAACATTTCAGTTGCCTTGCTGTCTATGCAGAGTCAGACAGCTCTCAGATTCCATCAAAAATATCGTAATTTGTGTTCCAAAGACAAACGAAGATCTTACGGGTTTGAAACAACATGAGGGTGAGTAATTAATGACAGAATTTTCATTTTTGGGTGAACTAACCCTTTAAGGCATTATAATGAATGCATAATGTCTTATAAAAAAAACTTATAATATGTTGTATCATCTCATGATTAATCATAACAAGAGTTTTAATGCATTATAATATTTACTTATTTGTAGTTATAGCTTTTAAGAATATGATGATTTATAACACACAATGAACAATTATATTTCCCATAGTTATAATGTATTATATCTTGCCATTGTTGACTTGTTACTTTACTTAAAGCAGACAAATACCACTTATAAATAACCACTTGGATATTATAAGTTGCACTGAGTTGGATAAAACTAAAATGGTGTGTCTGCATTTCAAGCTGCAAAGCAACTAAATGTGAGTATTTTAAAGGGGTCATATGACATTGCTAAAAAGAACATTATTTTGTGTATTTGGTGTAATGAAATGTGTTTATGTTCCAAAGACAAACGAAGATCTTACGGGTTTGAAACAACATGAGGGTGAGTAATTAATGACAGAATTTTCATTTTTGGGTGAACTAACCCTTTAAGGCATTATAATGAATGCATAATGTCTTATAAAAAAAACTTATAATATGTTGTATCATCTCATGATTAATCATAACAAGAGTTTTAATGCATTATAATATTTACTTATTTGTAGTTATAGCTTTTAAGAATATGATGATTTATAACACACAATGAACAATTATATTTCCCATAGTTATAATGTATTATATCTTGCCATTGTTGACTTGTTACTTTACTTAAAGCAGACAAATACCACTTATAAATAACAACAACAATAATATTAATAATAATAATAAATAAAACAATATTTTTTCTTAAACCGCTATAAAATCAGATATTTGATCAGATGAATGTGTTATATAGCACATTTGCTTTTAACCATATTTAATGTATTATCAGTAAGAGTAAGATACTGTGCAGATCTTAAATAATTTCAAGATATGAAACTTATAATACATTATAAATTAAGTGGATTTAAAATGGTGTTCATTGTGTGTTATAAATAATCATACTCCTAAACGTTATAATCACAAATAAGTAAGTTTTATAATGATGTATTATAATTGTTATGATTTATGAGATGAAACAACATATTATACATTTTTATAACACATTATGCATTCATTATAATTTAAGAATACCCTTATAATGTGTTATAAATATGGGCTTCATAGAAAGTGTTACTTCATAGAAAGATATTTTTAGGAGATCAATAAGAATCTCAAAAAGAATAAATATCATCTCAGCTGTGTGCCTAGAATCATTCTACTGTAATGTAAAGCAGATTATTTCGTGCTGGTGTTGTCATGATACCAAAATTTCAGTACCAATAAATAAATAAGGTAACACTTTAGTTTGGGAACCAATTCTCACTATTAACCAGATGCTTATTAGCAGGCATATTATTAGCACATTGGCTGTTTATTAGCACTTATAAATCACATATGAATGCCTTATTCTGCATGACCAAATGTTAGATCCCTTATTCCTACCCCATACCTAAACTTAACAACTACCTTACTAACTATTAATCAAAACTCGTGTTTGAATCGTCAGTGGCAAATTCTTTAAAATAAAAAAACGTACTTGCAGTCTTTGAGTCAGAACAGCCGGCACTGTAGTCTACTCTACCAGGATCAGGAAACAGTCCTCCATAAAATGTGCTGCACACATCTGAATATTTGGGTTGAACTGTTCTGGAACAGTGTTTCTATTCTAAAGATTCTAACAGATTTCTATTCGGGTCCTCTTTTGGAAGGCCAAACAAAGTAGTTTCGCTTTCACAACGAAACACACAGTGTAACACACGGCAGGCTAGAGTAAGCGGAGGCCGGCGGGCTTGAGTGAGGAATGGCCGGCGGGCTTGAGAACGGCGCGGCCAGCGGATTCGACGAAGGAGCGGCCGGCGGGCTTGCGGCAACAAAGGAAAAATTGAAATCGCATCATATGACCCCTTTAAGGGGGGGGCGGGGGTGTGATTCTTTTCTATACCCACTGTAGTATTGGATATCTACCATCACACTAGGGCTGGGCGATATGTCAAAAATATCTTATCGATAATCGGCTTTAAAAATATCGCGATATCCGATAATATCGTCTACCTAAGCCCAACCTCCACCACGAGCTAAACTTCCCTTGTAATGACTTGCAATGACAAGCGTTTCTAAACCTGTTGTCCAACAAAAGAGAACACTATATAACGTTTTCACTCCACAACTGCTTCCTTTTGTGATCTGATGTGGCTTCTTGTCACAGAATGAGGCAGAAAATATGTTCTATACTGTAAAAAGCATATGGTAAAAAGACTGTTGATTAGCAATGGATTATAAATATACTTAATTATGATGAAAATACCAAAGATGGCTTGAATAACACAGATAAACTATACATTGTAACGGTCGAGTGTTTATTGTCTTTGTTTAATAATTTAAAACGTTTATATCTTCTGTTTACTCAGTTACAGCGATAGCACTGCCTTTGTCCATATTAGGGATTTCCTGAGTCCTATTCCTTCTGTGATGCACATGTGGAGTTTCTGCACGAGGGCGCCCTCTTGTGTCTAGCATGAATGAAACCGACATTAATACATGCACCATAAACACACACCATGTTCAGTTTGGTCTTAATTATTGCCACAAAGTGTGGTTTTACTTTTCTTAGTTTGTGCTTAAACTAAAAGAAAACATTAGCTTTGCTGTTATTTTGGAGTTGCTACTCTGTTCTTATCAAATTTGTGTTTGAAATGAATTTCTTTTTGTGAGGAGAACTGTTGAGGAAAAATAATAGAACCCAATTTTAAGTTCATCATGGTGAAGTTGGACATTCTGGCGGTGACTGTAAGAATGATAAATGCATGTTGATTTCATATAGTAATGTTTTGAATAAAATATGCCTATTTTCCGATGTTTCTCTTTCTTTTTGGCATTATTGCCTGTGTAGACACATTTCATGATGGTAAGTTTAATTTCCTTAATTATAACAATTGCAGCTTTGTTTTTAAACTTGTAGTCAAGCTATAACGTATTTGATATTTATCATGTATGACTAAAATCATGCAGGGATTAAAAAATTAATTCTGAGCAAAAACATTAAGGTTTTTTTTCCCTTTATGGTATTTTTCCCTTTCCCTTTATGGTACTAGTTCAGAGGTCTCTTTTGGCCCATTTTTAACTAAATAAAAATAACTGCTTTATTTATTTAGAAGCAGGGTAATTTAAATGTCATTTTTGTATTGTAATTTTTATAATTTTGCAAAATAATCGCATACACAGATGCACGTTGCCATTACAGTAGTCAGCAGTGCTGAACTGGGTTACAAAAGTGATTCAGTCAAAATCAGTGAGGGATTTTCGTTTATTTTGTTCTTTGATTTAACATTATAATGACTGGCGGCAGCGGCTGCTGTCAATGCACGGATCCAATACACCCTTGTTTTCTGGTGCAGAATACTTCTATTTAGTCTTCTTGCAGTTGAATTTTTTGAAATCACAATAAATGTGCATACAGAAACCGAGAAGCAGAATTGAAATGTAATTTTATAACAAGTCATTTGATTCCTGACCTTACGCATCTGATCTGATTTCCGAAATTGGAATAGCTTTCCGATTCCCAAGATAATGTCGATAATCGTTTGTTACCTGACTGTTAACATCGACATCGCGATACTTACGAGACATCGTCATATCGCCCAGCCCTACATCACACCAAGGTTATTTTCGTAAACGAAATCTAAAACTAAGACGAAAACGACTGGTCAAAAAACATTTTCGTAAACTGAAACAAAATAAAAACATCTAAACTAAACTAAACTAAACTAAACTAAACTAACAACAGCTATTGCAAAACTAACTGAAATAAAATAATAATTATCAAAAATAAATAATCGTTTTCGTAATCATTACGTTCTCAC